AGTGCACAGCAGGTCACACGGAACATGAGAGCACAGTGCACAGCAGGTCACACGGAACATGAGAGCACAGTGCACAGCAGGTCACACGGAACATGAGAGCACAGTGCACAGCAGGTCACACGGAACATGAGAGCACAGTGCACCAGGCATGCCCGACAATGCAATGAATGCAATGAATGCAATGATCGCACACAGCAGGACACACAATTGTGAAGGTTCAGAACAACTTGTAAGCATCGTCAAAAACAACTCCAACACGTGCGGATGGGCGCATGTGAAGGAGCAGAAACAATAGGGACAAGACGATGAGCTCCATTGGTGGGCCAGCACGTGGCACATGTTGGAGGCAGATGAGAGCAGCAGCATATATCATCGCACTCAAAAGTTCAAAGTTGGAGGTGTAGGTAAGTTTCACTTGAGATTTCAATGAACGCGTGGAATTGCAGGAGAACAGCACAGGTCACACTGGCAATGCAATGCACTCACAGCCATCCGATGCACTCACAGCCATCCGATGCACTCACAGCCATCCGATGCTGGACATCTGTGCAATCCAAAGAGGGAATGTGCCGCTCAGGTTGTTGCGCTGGAAGAACCTGGGGATGAGCAGAGTGGAGTGAACCCCTTGAGTCTTGAGGCGCTTCAAGAAGAACGTGTGGAATAATAGAGTGAACCCTTTCTCATAGCGCCTCAAGGGGAGCCTCAAGGGGACTCATGAGCATGTGGACTCATGAGCATGTGGACTCATGAGCATGTGGACTCATGAGCATGTGGACTCATGAGCATGTGGACTCATGAGCATGTGGACTCATGAGCATGTGGACTCATGAGCATGTGGACTCATGAGCATGTGGACTCATGAGCATGTGGACTCATGAGCATGTGGACTCATGAGCATGTGGACTCATGAGCATGTGGACTCATGAGCATGTGGACTCATGAGCATGTGGACTCATGAGCATGTGGACTCATGAGCATGTGGACTCATGAGCATGTGGACTCATGAGCATGTGGACTCATGTGTCAGAAATAGGCTTAGAAGCGATGCATTAGTAATGAGCTTGAAGCTCTTTAAGTACATCCAAGAGGGGTAGGAAAAGGATGGGGAAGGGAATCGGGGGCAATCTCTAGGGATTGGGGGTAATCCCAAGGCAATCTCCAATTGGTGGGTTGGAGATTGGTTGGAGATTACATTTGGGTTTGGTTGGGATGTAGGTGTACACCCAACCAAACACAATGTGCAAACTACACTACTCTAGGATATAGAAAATACAAAGTACAAATTGTGAGATTGAAGACTAACACTAACATCATGAGCATGTGGACTCATGAGCATGTGGACTCATGAGCATGTGGACTCACGAGCATGTGGACTCATGAGCGCGTGGACTCATGAGCATGTGGACTCATGAGCATGTGGACTCATGAGCATGTGGACTCATGAGCATGTGGACTCATGAGCATGTGGACTCATGAGCATGTGGACTCATGAGCATGTGGACTCATGAGCATGTGGACTCATGAGCATGTGGACTCATGAGCATGTGGACTCATGAGCATGTGGACTCATGAGCATGTGGACTCATGAGCATGTGGACTCATGAGCATGTGGACTCATGAGCATGTGGACTCATGAGCATGTGGACTCATGAGCATGTGGACTCATGAGCATGTGGACTCATGAGCATGTGGACTCATGAGCATGTGGACTCATGAGCATGTGGACTCATGAGCATGTGGACTCATGAGCATGTGGACTCATGAGCATGTGGACTCATGAGCATGTGGACTCATGAGCATGTGGACTCATGAGCATGTGGACTCATGAGCATGTGGACTCATGAGCATGTGGACTCATGAGCATGTGGACTCACGAGCATGTGGACTCATGAGCACTTGAACTCATGAGCATGTGGACTCATGAGCATGTGGACTCATGAGCATGTGGACTCATGAGCATGTGGACTCATGAGCATGTGGACTCATGAGCATGTGGACTCATGAGCATGTGGACTCATGAGCATGTGGACTCATGAGCATGTGGACTCATGAGCATGTGGACTCATGAGCATGTGGACTCATGAGCATGTGGACTCATGAGCATGTGGACTCATGAGCATGTGGACTCATGAGCATGTGGACTCATGAGCATGTGGACTCATGAGCATGTGGACTCATGAGCATGTGGACTCATGAGCATGTGGACTCATGAGCATGTGGACTCATGAGCATGTGGACTCATGAGCATGTGGACTCATGAGCATGTGGACTCATGAGCATGTGGACTCATGAGCATGTGGACTCATGAGCATGTGGACTCATGAGCATGTGGACTCATGAGCATGTGGACTCATGAGCATGTGGACTCATGAGCATGTGGACTCATGAGCATGTGGACTCATGAGCATGTGGACTCATGAGCATGTGGACTCATGAGCATGTGGACTCATGAGCATGTGGACTCATGAGCATGTGGACTCATGAGCATGTGGACTCATGAGCATGTGGACTCATGAGCATGTGGACTCATGAGCATGTGGACTCATGAGCATGTGGACTCATGAGCATGTGGACTCATGAGCATGTGGACTCATGAGCATGTGGACTCATGAGCATGTGGACTCATGAGCATGTGGACTCATGAGCATGTGGACTCATGAGCATGTGGACTCATGAGCATGTGGACTCATGAGCATGTGGACTCATGAGCATGTGGACTCATGAGCATGTGGACTCATGAGCATGTGGACTCATGAGCATGTGGACTCATGAGCATGTGGACTCATGAGCATGTGGACTCATGAGCATGTGGACTCATGAGCATGTGGACTCATGAGCATGTGGACTCATGAGCATGTGGACTCATGAGCATGTGGACTCATGAGCATGTGGACTCATGAGCATGTGGACTCATGAGCATGTGGACTCATGAGCATGTGGACTCATGAGCATGTGGACTCATGAGCATGTGGACTCATGAGCATGTGGACTCATGAGCATGTGGACTCATGAGCATGTGGACTCATGAGCATGTGGACTCATGAGCATGTGGACTCATGAGCATGTGGACTCATGAGCATGTGGACTCATGAGCATGTGGACTCATGAGCATGTGGACTCATGAGCATGTGGACTCATGAGCATGTGGACTCATGAGCATGTGGACTCATGAGCATGTGGACTCATGAGCATGTGGACTCATGAGCATGTGGACTCATGAGCATGTGGACTCATGAGCATGTGGACTCATGAGCATGTGGACTCATGAGCATGTGGACTCATGAGCATGTGGACTCATGAGCATGTGGACTCATGAGCATGTGGACTCATGAGCATGTGGACTCATGAGCATGTGGACTATTGTTGCCTCATCACCCAGCAACCAACGATCTGCCAATAGATGTGCGAATCAATGTGTCCGTTCATGTGCCAAGCATATGTTAGAGATAGAACTCAATCTCAACTTCTGTATTTGTAACGTTATATCCAAATCAAATGTGGCTGTTTTCATGGGTTGGTTGGGTGACACACCAATATTCCAACATTGCCCAAATGTGGTCATCTGGAATCTCTAACCCAGCGATTGGAAATTCCAACTGATCTCATTGGGAAATACCCACAATTCCCCATCTATCCTTTCTAAACCATTTTCGATATACTTAAGGAACCTTGAGCTCCCTTTTTAAAATGGCATCAGGGCTTTTTAGAAATTTACATGTGGATCTTGACCTTTTCTTTCCCTAAGGTTAGAATCGTGTTCTCTAATAGAAGGCTCTCATAGAGTTTCTCAGTGTCAATGCTCTCATCACTTTCAGGTGGGCTCGTGCAAGCCCATGTTCATTCCACTCCTACTCAGCAGCACCCACTTACAGCTCCACCTACACCCTCACCCATCGCTTGCCCCGAGCTCCACCTACACCCTCACCCATCGCTTGCCCCGAGCTCTATCCTGAGCTGGTCGGATCCCCCATGTACACCAAGATGTGAACCCAACCTGACTTGGCATATCACGTCAATATCGTAATGATCTCACAGCACTGCAGATGCCATCCATGCCCCCAATCCCCATGCATCCATGCACCCAACCCATGTCCCCATGTATCCACGTCCCCACAGACCCACGCATCCATGTTCCCATGCATGCTTCCATGTGGCCTTGCTGCCTCGTGAATTGAGACTCACAGTTGAAATAGGCCAGAGAGGCGAGAGAGGGTGGTGGGGACAGTTCCGGTCAAGTGGTTGTTGGAGAGATCCCTGCAAGCCCATGCCATACAGTGACAGCACACACAGTGACAGCGCACACAGTGACAGCACACACAGTGGTGGCGTTTCTCCAGTGGTAAGAAGGTACAATCTACAGAACTGCATGGCATGGAGTTCGGGGCACACAATGTTGGCATGGCATCTTGTGAGGTATAATAGAGGAGGGAATGTAATGAAAACAACTCTTGGGGTCACATTCCCACCATGGTGGTTGGATGAAAACGAGTGGAGGTAGGTAGGCATTCAGAGTGGAGGAATCATATAACGATCTCACAATTTCCGAATGTCCTTCATGTTGCCGATGCCCTCGGGGATGGTCCCCTCTAGCTGGTTGTGAGAAAGATCCCTGCAGCACCACTTGCCAGCCTTGTCAGCCACATCATCAATAATCGGCTGTTCGTTCTTTTCTTACCACACAATCAGAGAAGGGTGGAGGTGGCATCCTGCACAACAGATATCTTGTTGTGAAAGAGGAACAGGAGCACAAGTGGGGAATTTTCAGGAGCAAAGATTATGATTCCAACCCTAAAACATGCATTCCCCTTGAGAACACGCATTCCCCTTGAGAACACAAGGCAGATGCACCTATACCGTGGCAAAAAGAAGAAAGAACAGAAACGAGTGTTCGGATTGTTGCTCATGCCCATTTGAGATGACACATGTGAGAGAGTTTTTAGAAATCCTTAAAGCCTCACAGCAGCCCACACGGTGAGGGGCTGACAGTGGAGATACTGCTGTTAGGCTGCTGAGCTTGGTAAGACTGCTGATGGACTGCTGATGGACTGCTGATGGACTGCTGATGGACTGCTGATGGACTGCTGATGGACTGCTGATGGACTGCTGATGGACTGCTGATGGACTGCTGATGGACTGCTGATGGACTGCTGATGGACTGCTGATGGACTGCTGATGGACTGCTGATGGACTGCTGATGGACTGCTGATGGACTGCTGATGGACTGCTGATGGACTGCTGATGGACTGGTGATGGACTAGCACAGCAGATACTCTCTTGCATGCATGAGACGCAAGCGAAGGCGCCCCAGAGCAGCATCCGATGTGAGGGCAGCCGGTGCAGGGACACTGAATGACAGGGTGCTGAGCTTGGTGCGACACTGACAGGGTGCTGAGCTTGGTGCGACACTGACAGGGTGCTGAGCTTGGTGCGACACTGACAGGGTGCTGAGCTTGGTGTGACACTGACAGGGTGCTGAGCTTGGTGAGGCTGCCAGTGGACTCGGGAATGCTGCCTGTGAGGTTGTTCTTCCACACCGAGCTGTTGCACGCAGTGCAGTGCGGGATAGGGAGGCACAGGGGCGGACAGGGGCGGACAGGGGTGCACAGAGGCGGACAGCGGTGCACAGGGGCGGATAGGGATGCAAGAGGGGCAGATAAGGGTGCAGGAGGGTTGAATAGGGGTGAGGCTGCCTGACAACAAGCTGTTCTCCCACACGGAGCTGTTGCACGCAGTGCAGTCAGTCAGGGACATGGGTGCCCGCACGGCAGACAGGGGTGCACTGGGGCGGATAGGGGTGCGCGAGTGAGAGATATGGCAAGAGGATTCAGTGAGGGGTAGGGCTGAACCTGGTTTGGCGCACCTCGACCTTAGTTGGGCGGCCCGGACCCGGCTGTGAGTGGAATTTTCCGACTCATGCTCGCCCGATCGTTAAATGTTTGGGTCAACTTGCTGGAATCGAATTTTGAGTCGAATCGAGCGGGAATTCGGGTTTTTGCTCGTGCCTACTATGTCCGCCCGGGCTGGGCAAGTTTGAGTTTGGCCGGAGCATTATTCGTTTTAGTCACAAATCTCTCATTTCGCCATCAGATCAGCGCGGATCCCGCATTTTGAACTGTTGGTTCCAATAATGGTTGAAAATCAACGGTGGAAAAGAAGGGTAGGTTGGCGATGAAGTGGTGAAGAATGGGGCTGGGGAACAGGCCGACCAAAAAAAGGAATGCCGAAGCTAAAAAATGAGCTTCAAATTATCATTGTGTGCCCATTGTGTGCCCATATAATGACCTTCGAGAAAACTGATGCTAGCGACCTGGAAGGAGCGGGCCATGCTTTGCAAGATTCGTGTCAGGCGGCGGAGTGAGGGATAGGGAGCAAGCAGTGAGAGAAAGGAGAAGCTTGAAGTTCGATGGTTCACAAGAATTAAGGCGTGGCAGCAACTTGGCAGTGTGGCAGCACCTTGGCAGCTCTGCAGCTGTGCATGGTGACAGTGAGTGTCCTGTCCGGTCCGGTGTGAGGAATATCCTCGCAGAGGAATGGTGAGGAAGGCAGAGGGAGGTCCAGAGGGGGGTCTACCCCGTTGCATCCTTTGTTCAGCGAAGTGAACAGTCACATCACCTCTATGCTCGGCATCGGCAGGCTCCTCATCCCTGCCAGGACTCTCTCTCTTCTCTCTGTGTAGTGCTCATTGTGGTGCTCATTGTGGTGCTCATTGTGGTGCTCATTGTGGTGCTCATTGTGGTGCTCATTGTAGTGTTCATTGTAGTGTTCATTGTGGTGCTCATTGTGGTGCTCATTGTGGTGCTCATTGTAGTGCTCATTGTGGTGCTCATTGTGGTGCTCATTGTGGTGCTCATTGTAGTGCTCATTGTGGTGCTCATTGTGGTGCTGTTTATAAGACGCTCTGTGCTACGCAGGGTGTCTTATCCCATACTGCTCAGACGGTCTCTTATAATAGGAACTTCCATTTATACAAGAATACTTGTATTGAAGACACACGTGTCTACTATTCACCACCACCTTATAACCGGTCCATGACGGAAGAAGACTGATGGGTTAGAGATTTTTGAAAGTTGATGGGTTAATAAACTAGAAGGCTGATGGGTCTCAAAACTAGAAGGTTGATGGTACTTACAAGACTTCAAGGTTGATGGCACTTACAAGATTTGGAGGTTGATGGTACTTAAAAGACTTGAAGGTTGAGGGCACTTACAAGACTTGAAGGTTGATGGAACTTACAAGATTTGGAGGTTGATGGTACTTAAAAAGACTTAAAGGTTGATGACACTTACAACACTTGAAGGTTGATTACACTTACAACACTTGAAGGTTCATGGCACTTACAAGATTTGAAGGTTGATGGTACTTACAAGATTTGAAGGTTGATGGTACTGCCGATGGAGTCTGGTATGCTGCCGTTGATGCTGTTGTGAGCGGCCTCCCTGCAACCAGCCACACACACATGCACAATGCACAATGACGTACCTGGACAGGAATGGACAAGGGGTGCAGTTGCACAAAACACGTGTGCATACAGAATCTGATGTGCACACTTGCACCGCCGCATCAAGTATGAACATCAAGTGAGTGTTGCGGAGTGTATGTAGTGGCCACATGGTTGCTCTTTGCGTAAAGAAGGGGGATGGAGGGACAAGGGGAACAGAGGGGAAGTCGTAAATGGATTGGGGATAGAACAATTGACACCTAAAACAACTCCGTAAAAGAATGCTGGAAATTAAACCTTGAAGCTAACAACTATTCATCCTATCTTTAACAAGAAATACAATGGGGGTCAGGGGAGCAAGGCCGGGAGGGGGCATGAACCCAGCTCTGTTTTTGTATGACCATGGGTGATTGAAAAAGAGCACAAAGAGGCAGAGAGCACGAGAAGAGAGCACAAAGAGGCAGAGAGCACAGAGAGGCAGTGAGCATACAATTTTCTGAGTATGGTGCGACCAGAGAGCCAGGAGGGGAAGGGGCCCGATAGACTCATATAGCTGAGATACCTGCACATGCAACACACACATGCAACACACACATGCAACACACACATGCAACACACACACGCGCGTGTGTGCGCGCACATGCACACAAATGCACACGCAACTCACACACACATAATGCACCCACGCACACTCCCACCGACCCATGCATGCATGCATGCATACACTCACACACTCACACACGCACACACGTGCACATGCGCACACATGCTCACACGCACCAGCGAAGATGCACACACAACACAATCACGTAACAGCACCTTCACATTTAAGGAGAACTGCACGGGCAGGGAATGGTGAGTCCACGTGGAATGTGGTGAGGGAGGAAGCAGAGGGTCACTCACAGAGAGGAGAGCGAGGATCACTCACAGCAATTGGAGCTTGGTGAGGCTCTTCATCTCAAGCGGAATGGAGCCTGTCAGTTTGATGTTAAAGCTAAGGTCTCTGTGCACACATTATCACCACCATGCCATGCCATGCGGACACACCATCACCATGCCATGCCATGTGAGACACACCAACGTGAGGCAGAACGATGAAATGCCGCGTAGATGCCAATGATTACAACAATGATACCAATGTAGGAAAGCATTATTACGACTTGAGATTGTAGTGAGGGCGAACAACGAGAGGATTGGGGACCATATAGGAGGAAATGGATGTTCTGATACCATTCTGGATATGATGCATGTCCTTAAGTACAACAAGCAAGGAGGGTTGGGTGGATAAGAAGCAATCTGGACGGAATCCTCGGATGGTCCATCCACCCAAATAATGGGGATTTTGAATGGATAAGGTTGGATATGTTGGGAATAGAAAGTCTACACCCAACCGAGACGAAACTCACGAGATTATAACCTAGAAGTAACAAATACGGTTAAATAAATATTATTTCCAACAAATCTTTGTTGAAACGCATGCTAAGCATGACTCAGAACGTTTGCTTTGGGTCCAACCCAACACAATACTTGCTGAAACTTGATAGGCAACGGGTTGGAGACTGATTGCCTCACAGCGTAGATCTGGCCGTGCGGCGGGACTGTGCTCGACGGGCTGAGAATCAGTGAGGCATACTTATGGGCGTGAAGGGCAGCCAGGCGTGCTTACAGGCGTGAGAGGGCAGCGAGGTGAGATATGGCTGCAGGAATAGAGCCTGACAGGATATTCCAGCGGAGATCTCTGCCACGTCATGTGTGCCGTGGCGTGCCATGGCGTGACATGGAGTGACATGGAGTGTCATGAAGTGACATGGAGTGACATGAAGTGACATGGAGTGACATAGAATGACACGGAGTGTCATGGAGTGACATAGAGTGACATGGAGTGGCATGGAGTGACATGGAGTGACATGCAAGCACACAGCAGGGACAGAATGGAAACCGCAAGAAATGGGATTTGCGGCTTCAGCGTGAGTGAGCCGTGGGGCAATCAAAGTAGCATGGAATCAATCACCTCACCTCACCTTACCTCACCTCACCTTATTTTACCTAATCTCATCTCATCTCATCTCATCTCATCTCATCTCATCTCATCTCATCTCATCTCATCTCATCTCGTCTCATCTCATCTCATCTCATTTCATACCCCACCAGCCTGCAGTCCCGACTCACAATCGATCATGTCATGTGGTCCTTGCTCTGCCATTACTCAGACCAGACCCTGCTCCGTCATGCATCCTTACTCATTCCCTATCTGAGCGAAAATCAATCAATGAGACTGCCCTAACTCGGCATGCAAACCAGTTAGTGACCACTGCACGCATAACATCCATCCATCACAACACAACACATTTGCATACCATCTAAAAATCAGCACACCACTTCAATCATCACTAAGAAAAACGGAAATCTTGTCTCTCCTGCGGCTGGAGACACAAGACAATGGCGCGTCCCTCCCCAGGCGCCCCTCCCTCCTTAGGCGACCAGCTCGTTATGAGCCCAACCAACCCAGCCCCACCAGGCGACGAGCCACCCTAGGCCCGCCCCTCAATGGTGATAAAGTGTGACTGTAGAAGGGAGGCCAGTCAAGAGATGCCAAGGGAGGCGGCGGGGGTGAAACCTGGGCAAGGGTACTGTATTTGGAGATGCCTACAGGTACAACACACACACACAAGAGCAGCAATACGATTGGTTAGAGTGTGCTCACAACATGGCAAGATTGGTGAGGCGAAAAAGGGATAAAGGAATTGCGCCAGTGAGTCTGTTACCGCCTAGTGACCTGTACAGACACAGCGAGGGGCATACGGAGAGCAAGGCACAACAAGCGAGGGGCATATGGGAAGGAAGGCACAACGAGGGGCATATGGGAGCAAGCGAGGGGCATATGGGGAGAAAGTGGCATGGGCACGGGGTTAGCCACGAAGGGCGCCATATGGAGCAGCGAATGCCCAATGCAGCATGCCTTTGTGAGCAAACCTGTCAGCACACCCATCAGCACGCCTTCAGCCCTGTCCAAAATGCCTCATTTCAGCCCCCTGAGCCCTACAAGAATCGTCTCCACCAGAACTTCACACAGCCATCACACACTTGCCTTGCTCCTCCTGCCCGCCCCTGCTAAAACTGCCCCACTACTTGACTGTTGGGCACCACTCCTCCACTCACACCGCTTGGGTTCACTCTAGCGGAAACACGGTTGCCTTGCCTCTATAACAATATGTTTGAGCAGGCGCCGCAAAAAGCTGATTCCAGTGACAGCATCATTGCCCTCTTGGCTAATTATTGAGTCTACTAACAAATCGCTCCAAGAGAAGGTGAAACCAGTGACAGCACCGTTGCCCTCTTAGCAAATGCAAGCTCCTTCAAGCTCTGGTCCCGTCCCATGCGATGTGGCGTGCCCCCCGCAACGCAACTGGTGCTCTCACTGCCACTTTCAGGCATAATTGAAGTCTAATCGAATTCGGCCAACCGTGCACCAAACTAATGTAAGCAATGAGGAAAGGTGAACCGCAAGGGTGACAAAGACAGGCCTGTCGCGGCTCAAGCCTAGCGACTTTCATTTGCTTTATGAAACAACCTTTTAAGAAATCTCGAAAGATGGAAATCACTTTTGAGAATTCTCAAAACTGAATGTGACAAAGACAGGCCCAGCTCAGGCCACACCCAGGTGGCACGATGAGACACACAGCACACTCAAATGAGGTGAGGCGTTTTCCGAGCACAGTTGTTCGAGCACAGTTGTTCGAGCACGGTTGTTCGAGCACAGTTGCTAGAGCACAGTTGTTCGAGCACAGTTGTTAGAGCACAGTTGTTCGAGCACAGTTGTTCGAGCACAGTTTTTTTAGCACAGTTGTTCGAGCACAGTTGTTCGAGCACAGTTGTTCGAGCACAGTTGTTCGAGCACAGTTGTTCGAGCACAGCTTTTTCGAGCACAGTTGCTTCGAGCACAGTTGCTTCGAGCACAGTTGCTTCGAGCACAGTTGCTTCGAGCACAGTTGCTTCGAGCACAGTTGCTTCGAGCACAGTTGCTTCGAGCACAGTTGCTTCGAGCACAGTTGCTTCGAGCACAGTTGCTTCGAGCACAGTTGCTTCGAGCACAGTTGCTTCGAGCACAGTTGCTTCGAGCACAGTTGCTTCGAGCACAGTTGCTTCGAGCACAGTTGCTTCGAGCACAGTTGCTTCGAGCACAGTTGCTTCGAGCACAGTTGCTTCGAGCACAGTTGCTTCGAGCACAGTTGCTTCGAGCACAGTTGCTTCGAGCACAGTTGCTTCGAGCACAGGACACACAGCACAGCTCCTCGGCTGGACAGGTTCGACTGGAGACTCGCTATGGCTCGGGGGAAAAAACCGGCTCGGCATGGCTTGGCTTCACGGGGAGGTGGCTTGACCAGGTGCCAGCTGATGTCTCAAGTCCTGACACTGCATGGATGCTTCAAGCACTGTCTGCTGGTGCACCGATCAGAAGAAGCAAGGGCCTGGCAACAGCTTGTTCCTATCCTAAGATGATTTGCAGAAAGCGCGCTTACAGGTAGGAGAGGCGAGTGAGGTTGGCAATTGCTGAAGGAATGGAGCCTGTGAAAACATTCCATCGAAGGTTCCTGACATGTGCGCCAGGCACAACACACACAAAGCACTGGGTGAGTTACGAAACATTGTTTTATTTTTTCTTATAAAGGGCGCAAGAATGTCAGTTTGGGTGCAGAGGAAATCTGAGCTGTTAGTGAAAACAATTAGCCAGCCATGGCTGTTTCAGCCGATTGAGTTTGAAAAAGGGTGAGATGTGATTTGTAGAAGGGATGTACTTGAGGTGTTGTGGAGCATCTAGACAGCACATGAGAAACGGGATGAGCCATTGCTCAACAGTGCAGCAATTACCAGTCACTTTAGCCTAACCAGCAGCAACATGCTCTTCGCGCTTCACTGACTGGCCCGTCTCACCTAATAGCCCAGCCTTTGCGTGCCGGCAACGGCAAAGTGCCACTGTGTCTAAGGTGGAACAATTTCTCATCCAGCAATTAAAGCCGTGCACGTATTCAGCATTTGTGCGAACTATTCAGCTTTTGAGAACAAATTCAGATTTTGAGAACAAATCCAGCTTTTGTGAACAGATTCAGCTTCTGCAAGAAAAACTCAGCTTCTGTATAGTCCAAGGGCGGGCAACAAGGCGAGCCTGGTGAGGTGGAACACTCACAACAAGGCGAGCCTGGTGAGGTGGAACACTCACAACAAGGCGAGCCTGGTGAGGTGGAACACTCACAACAAGGCGAGCCTGGTGAGGTGGAACACTCACAACAAGGCGAGCCTGGTGAGGTGGAACACTCACAACAAGGCGAGCCTGGTGAGGTGGAACACTCACAACAAGGCGAGCCTGGTGAGGTGGAACACTCACAACAAGGCGAGCCTGGTGAGG